TAGACATGTTTCTAGTCGGATGAATTTGGGCGCTCCTACAGTGGCCCGTATGTTTCCTAAAATTATCGCTTGTTAACTAACGGGCACAACTTCAGAAAGTACTGGTGGTTTAAAGAAAGTCCAGGTTGTTGTAGAGGTTGAAAGCCAGACCATGACAGTCACCTTCCGTAGTTGTCCATTAGGTTATCCCAATGGTCTACAGAGGGGCCCATTCCTTCTGAGACTCCCTCCGGCCACCCACTCTCGTCATTTCTCCTTGCCGCACACCCCTATCCCACAATCCTATCTCAGTGTCTACCACTCAGGAATTGTCACCCTCCTGTCATCTCAAAGGGGGTGACCCAACTGGACAGTGGTTGTAATCACCAGGGCTAAGCAGGAACTACCCAGCTCAGCCCTGATTGAAGCACAGTCAGGCAATCCCCGTCGTACAGGTACTTCGAGGGCCAGGCATGGACATTCCTCTTCAGCCCCCATAGGTGGACCCATTCCTATTATCTCCCCCCCCCACGCTCCCCCCCCCAGAGGAGGAGGAGGAGATGGTGAGGTAGGGAGGAGGAATAACCTCGCTGTCCTGTCCCGAATCCAGGCCTCACCTGCAGGTACGCGGATGCCGCTGAAGACCTGCGCAGCTGGAGCTATGGCGCCTCAGGTAAGKGCCAGGTAAGTTCCCCGCTGCTCCTCGACTCCTGTGCAGTCCAGCGCTAAGAATAGCGCTGCTGTCTCCAGCGCTGTGCGCTAACCAAAATAGCGCAGCGCTTCTCGCAATGCYGCTGCTCCRCTCTGAACCRAAACGACTGGCGCTCCAGCAGCGTCCCAGTGCTCGATGCCTCACAATGAGGCTGGACCGGTATTAAGTACCRGTGGAAAAGAGGCCGGCCTCAATGCTGCGAGGCCTGGCCGTGATCTGAATCGTCCAGATCGACGGTTCAGATCAGACCGGCGGGCGGCAGCCTCAAGAGCGCCGCCAGGCCCAAACGGTAATGTCGTTTGGGCCTGCCCGTCGGGTCTGGTCCGTAAGTGGCCTAAAAGGGCCAACCGGCGGCCTAGAATGGCTCCGCCGTGGTAAAGGTCCGGCCTTGGGCCTGGACCGGCTCCTGAACCCCAATCTGTCGGGCCTACCCAGGCCCGTGTGACACAATGTGTAACACACTCCCCCTCTTAAAAGACCGAGCTACCTGCGAGGGCGGAGTTGTCTGTCCGATATCGGGGTGGGTTGGGCGGGACGAGCTGCTTCCTTGGCAAGTCGTCGCTTCTCATAGTTAGCGAAGATAAGGGGTGCAGAAGTCTGCAAGTCTGCACAAGAGATCCACCGAGTGTCATCAGGCGCACATTGCTTGAATGTGACTTTGAACTGCATTGGCTTGTTGCCATACTTGCGGTGCGTGATGACTCGGTCGACTTCCTGATATCCGTCCATAGAAGGCGGATCCTGAGATCGTCGGCCCGGAAACTCGTCAGCGGAAGGTGGCGTGTAGATGGCCAGCTTCGACGCGTGGAAGACCCGGTGCACTGGAAGGTGCGGCGGAATGTTGACCACAAAGGAAGGACCTGCGGGGTCGTCTCCAACGACAAAAGTAATTTCCAATGGTCCGAACCATTTCAGACGGAGTTTGCGCGAAACGTCCTGCTCGAGCGCAAATTCCTCGGAGAGGACCCAAACAAGGTCTCCCTCGCGGAAAGGACATGGGAGTCGACGTCGGTTAGCTTGCTGCTGCATGCGGATTTGAGCCTTTTGCATATTTGCGCGGGCTTTGATCAGCAAGTCCCGGTACTTCCGGACGGGAGCGGGAGAGCAAGGGACGTTTATGTCGGCGGCCTGTGGTAGAAGGAGATCAGCGAAGATCCGTGCTTTCTCTCCACCATGATGTAACTCGAATGGTGTGACGCAGATCACCGGGTGCACAGAAGTGTTATAGGCGAAATCAATGTCGGGAAGCCGGTCAACCCAATCTTTCTGGTCGGGACGGATGAGCGTACGCAACATCATCTGAGCGGTCTGGTGTGCTCGCTCCGTCTGGCCATCCGTCTGCGGGTGTCGAGCCGAGCTCGACTTCATTGTCTTACCGGACTCAGCCATAAGTGAAGTCCAAAAGGCCGACATGAAGCGAGTATCTCGGTCGCTCACCGTCTTCCGGAACACCTTGGTTGGTAATCCAACCGGTGTGCAAGAGTCGTGCGAGCTCAGGCGCTGCAGCATGATACTTGCAAGGAAGAAAACGAGCATACTTGCTCAAACGGTCAACGACCGTGAGAATACCGTCATGGCCGAGGCGATCGAGGGGGACCGGGCCTGTAACGTCCATAGCAATGGAGAGGTGCGGTGCCCGAGGAATCGGCAACGGTTTCAGTTCGCCGAAGGGGATTCGAGATCGACCCTTGTTACGKTGGCAAACTGCACATGACTCGATGTACCTCGTGACGTCGTGAAGGACGTCGGGCCAGTGAAAACGCTGGCGGAGGCGTGCTAATGTGCGGGTCACGCCAAGGTGTGCCGAAAGTCGTGCATCGTGGAATTCGCCGAGAAGACGAGTCCGTAAGATACGATCTTGGGGCACAACTAACAAGTCCTTTCCTCTCGTGTGAAGGAGAAGGAACCCGTCGGAAATCCGATAATGGCTAGCTGGCAGGTGATCCGATGAAAGCTCTGCGTAAAGCGTAGAGTAAGTCGGATCGGACTTGTAGCCTTTGACGAAATGCGGCTGCAGATCATCATCGAGGTCGAATGCCGTGGTCACAATGGCACAAAAGTCGGGCYGTCGTGAGAGGGCGTCCGCAGTTCGATTGGCGGGACCGGGAATGTGGCACGGGGCAAAGTCGAACTGGTCGATGTAATACATCCATCGACCGATCGTGCTAGTGACCGTATCCTGGGTTTTGTAAAAGGTCAACGGATTGTTGTCCGTATTCCATTTAAAACGCCGATGACCGAGAAGAAAGTGGCGCCACCGTTTGAGAACGGTGACGAACGCGAGTAGCTCTTTCTTTCTAGCGTCGTCGAGAGTGTTGACGAGAGGCACCTTTTGGGAGAAATACTCGACTGGGTGCCAACCGTCCTCGTGTTACTGTTCCAACACCACACCAATACCGTATCCTGAAGCGTCAGTAGTCACTTGGGTGGGAAGGGTGGGGTCGTATATACGGAGGGCAGGTGCGGCTTGCATTGCTGCCTTCAACGTATTGAACGCGCCACGGGCTGC